GTAGAACCAGCCCCCGTCCTTGAGGGAGCTGTAATTAAGAAACTGCAGCTTAGGATTTAAAATCTGGGCCTGTGCTTTTCCCAGCTGAGAACAGAACAGGCTGAGATCTTTCAGACCGGGGCGTGGTGGTACTCTTTTCCACCGTTTTTTTTTTTCTCCAGCGAAAAGTCATATTAACAGTTTTTGCGCTAACCTGAATTTTCAAGATGAATGAAACGATCCCTGGAACATAGCTCACCTGCAGGCAGGGCTGCTCTGAGGCTCTCAGGTTAACTCCACGGAAAGGACTGATGTTTCAAAACCAGGCAGGTAGCAACAACAAAGGCATCGCCTTTTAGTGAGTTACTGAAAAGGAAAATTCTTGCGAGTTTGCTTGTCTCTGACTCAGGTAGGGGATACCCACACGCAGCCTTCCTTCGGCTCTCCATGCCTTACAGCTGTGCCCTTAGAGCCACCCCACAGTGGGAACAGCCCCACACACCCCCAACTCAGTTTTGGGTACAAAGGTACCTGGGTAAACATGCTTATAGATGTATATAAAGGTGTATACAGGTACACAGCTGAAACTAAAGAAAATAGTGATAACACTTCTAGAACTAAACCCCATTAAATCACCAAAATAAAAAAGAGAAAAGTTACATATTTATCCCAACAGAAATTTAACTCTTTATTGCACTTCGAACATATACATAACAGTTATTTCTCACAATGACATTATTTCAACACTGATGCTACACCTGTCAAGTATAATGTTGCTTGAAGATGCAACATTTCAGGCACTGATCCTGCAGTTCAAATTAGAGCTAAAAATATTTACAAAACTATACTTTCTTGCATAATATTCTAATTAGCATAGGTTTTAAAAGAACTTTATGCAATACAAAATCACAGGGTTGCATTGTTTTGGGGGGTTTTTTGTTGTTGTTTTTGGTTTGGTTTTTTTGTGGTGTTTTTTTTTTGTTTGTTTGTGGTTTTTTTTTTTTTTTAACAAACAATGTTTTGACAAGGATTTTCTGTATACATATGATTGGACATTTCAGAAGTCTTTGTGTTTTCATTTCATTTTATCCAACTAGTAATTCCCTTAAGTAAAAAACACTAAAGCTTGAACTTTAAAATGCTTTACCACATAATACAGAATCAAGATAAACCTTAAAAGCATATTTTGTAGCCTCCAGAGTTGCATTTCCTTCTCTTTGAATAAGAATTTTTGATACTATTTTCAAAACACACATGCAGAATGGGTGAATTAACGACTAATACTCTGCTCTACATTTTAAATACACCTCTGAAAATCCTCAAGTCTTCCAATCTCAAGACTGAACATATTAATGAAACAAAGTCAGAGCTGCAGCACATGTTGATTTGGACCTTTAATATAAACTTTTATTAATTTCTTCTCCTTTTGACTGTATTTCACTTATACACCAGTTAAAAATGCTAACAGCTTTTTCTAATAAGCATCCTTTGCATGGGTGAAGGCAAGTCACAGAAATTTCTTATCACTTGGTTTTTCAAACTTAGATCTAAAATACTTGAGAGGTTGGTTTTTTTTGTTTTTTTTTTTTAAATTATATGTGCTTTAAGGAGCCCATACTAAACCCACTAATACTAATCTATTATTGTTTACTAGAAAATGGTCACTATAGAAAATAAATAGCTTATTTGATATGCTAATTCCAGATGGAAGCTTAGGGTTTGATGCAGAAACTGCGGGGTGAAGTTCTTTGGCCAAACACAGTCAGAGGACTGCAATCATTCTCCTGCGGCCCTGACAAATCTTCCAAAAGATGTAACTTCTATAAAAATATATTTAACACACCACAGCTAATGTATATGCAATTCTTCTCCTTGTGTTACAGAAATACTGAAAGTAAGCAACTTCCCTAATTTCCAGATGTGCCTCAGGTTACAGTTTATGTAAAGTGAAAACTACCCGACAATATTGCACTTCAGTGACTTGCTATAGCAATTAAAAACCCGACGATCATTATAGCTACAGAAATTGCTCTTATGGTTTCCAGACAAGAGACCTTTCTGTGGTTTGATGGATTAAGAGTCAGCTTATTCAATGGAATTTTAATGAACAGTTAGAGTAAATTTAAGATTGGTCTCTATAAATAAATGCTGAAAATGAGCAGAAGAGAAGTTCCCCTCTGTAGTAGCATTTAGGAATACAACTTGAATATACCAAGGATTATATTAGAATGTCTAGATAGAGCTGATCAAACCAACAGGAAAGGAAAGACATGTCCTGAATGTGTACACATGAGTATTAGAAAATGGGAACAAGTTCTGTGTAAGAAAAATCTTTTCAAGCAATATTAGAGACTAGAGGATTTTATGAATTCCATATTTTGATGTAGCATTGTGTAGCACAACTTTAAAGTTAACTTAAACCTATCAGCTGCTGAATTCAAAGCAATAAAAGGTGTGAACCCTGTTTTTATCTCAGATACTTTCTGAAGCCTTATATTCACATTACCTTATTATTTTTTTCTCCATTGAAAGTTTTAAAATGCAGTTTATTTAGTTTTGAGTTCTAAACCATTTCTCTTGCCACTGCAGGTATGAGAAGTCCTTTAAAATTATCCACGCTCTGCTTGCTACTTCTCTAAGTTCTGTACTTCCCATACAGCCCTATATAACCTAATATTACAGAAGGCATTTATCTCTAACTAGGCAAGAAAAAGGAATACTGCACTGGGTATGCCACTTGTTTTTAAAGTATAATACTCTATCTGCACAAGATTCATTGCTGTATTTTAGAAACATGAATATACAGCATAAATCTGTTCTATGCAAATAATTGCAACAAACCATCTTTGTTACAATGGTAACAGACCATTCTGAAGGGTAAGAATATAAAGACATTATTGGCAGTGTGACATTCAAAAATTATGCAAAGACGACAAACATGGAACATTATTGGAGAAAAAAAAAAATCAGAAGAGAATGAGAAAATGCTTAGTCTATGAACTAGTCAAATGACATTCTCCAAGAGCTCATGCATTTATTTTAAAGGCTACTTTAATATGCTTTTAGCTCAGAACCAGAAAAACACCACTAGCCCTGTCTTAATTTCAAATATTCTTAAATTTCTAGTGACAGGACTTTGATGAGATTAGATTGTTTTAGCTATTTGAAAGCAGTGAGAAATACCTGATCTAAGCCTTGCGATAACTTACTTAGACACTTCGGAAAAAAAAAAATTTAAAAAGTGTCATGCATATTTTTGTTACCCAGTGATGGAAATAGGTCTGTATAAAAAAAATAAAATTAGCACCTCTCCCAAGATCAAGAAAGAAAGAGAAGCTGTAGCAGTTTAAGAAAGATTTCAAAATACCTGCATACTGTTAACTGAACTATGTAATTTAAATACCCATCTGCCTCTTTGTTTTTGACCCTTTATAGCATGGTCTACAAATTCAGTGAGTGAGTCTTGACTGCCACTTCCATTTACAATTTACCATGGATGTACTTTCTTGCCAAGGCATTCAGAAGTAAAGCAATCCTGCTTTTATTTTCAAAAAAACCTAAGCTATATGCTATATTAATAAAAATGCGTATGATTATTTTCAGGATTTTGAAGAATGCGGATATATATAGATATATACAGATATATATATCTATATACAGCTATAGCACAGCCTATGTTTGGGACATAGTATAGGTGGTCAAACTGCTGGTGGGGAAATTTCAAAAAGACACCTGCATATATTAAAAAACCTGTACTTAATGTCCTTTTAGTTTCATAGCTTTAGTATTAGTAACATTAAATTCTTATCGTGAGGAATTTCACTACTTATCTGGCTTATTGGCATTTATACAAATACTTCAAAATTGAAATACATTTTATACATCTTCCTCAGACTGCGCCTACAATTGAACAGGAAGAGTTTAGACTAAAAACTAGAAAAGTGTCAGGCACTGACAAGCTTGGTGGTAGACTGCCTTTAGTTTAACAAATAGTTTTAGTGCATATTCCTACGGAAATACTGACTTGCATGGAAGACAAAGTAACATGTTCTAAAGAGCAACAAATTCTTACACTTTCATATCTAACAGCATTAAGTCTAACTCTCATACTTCACTTTGAAAGACCACTTATTGTTGCATATTCAAGATTTACTTCTAGTTTTTACTGTTTTGGCTATGTGTATGATTAAAAACTGATGTATAACAGTAGAATGCAGAAACATGTGCAAATGCCAGACTGTTTAACAACAGAAACTCAAGTTCAACCAGATTTTGTTCTTGCGCCTTATTATTTTGCCTAGGTTTTCTCCAGACCTTAGTTATATTTTAATGCACTAACCACAATAACCTTAAAACATAGGTCTACATGAATCATCAAAACGTAAATGAATCATCAATATAAAAACAATTACTGGAAAAATATACATGGAACAACTGAAGACCTGTATCAGAGTTTTACATGAGACAAAGCTGTACAGCAGTTATCTTCAAAATGTACCCGATTTGACTTCGATAAATAAATTACTGAAGAATGTAATACAATCAACATACTTACCTGTGAGAGCTAGAATGTTACAGAGTTTGGTAACATTTCGTATGTGTCTACAGCAAAAGTAGACATTTAAAGTACTTCTGCAAGAGATTGCTGGCTCTTGAAGTCAACTTCAAACTGGAAGATGGTTCAACAGATGAAGTGTATTTTCATTTGAAAATTGTTTTCCATCTTACAAGATAACTACTTTTAGCATATCTTTGGGGAAAAAGTGAGAAAAGGCTGAGCATGCTGTCCAAAAATACAGTAGCGATTTGTAAGCAGACATTCCTGCAGAAAATTGAAGTTTCCAACATCCAGCTTAGTAGCAATACTATTTATTCTTTTTCGACTCTTAGTGTGTTTCTGATGGTGAATTCCATTTTCTTTTTAAACTGCTCATATGTCTTTGTTATAGGGAGCTCCAAGCAATTAAGGAGTCTGTTTCCAACAGGATACCTTATATGCAAAAATTTAATAGTAGGTTCAGGATCAAAACCAATGGGGGGTATAGTAAAAGAGCCTGTTACGAAGAGCAGAATATCCTCCAACGTCACTACAGACTCACCACCTAAAAAAATAGGATTAGGTTGTATCATTTATTGCTTATTATCCACAAACCATTATTCTTCGTGTTAAGTGTTAGAGGAAAAACCCTGAAATCAGGAAACCTCAGGATCAATATGCTGAATGAATACACAGTTATATGGCCAAATAAGAAAAATTTTAGCAAGAAAAACCCACTTGGGCTAGTTCTGAAAAAATCTTAAATGAATAGAAATAAAACCCTCTTCTGCAAGAAAATACCACTATTTTCTATCTTTTTTGAGACACATACTATCTAATAAAGTTCACAACAAAGCTGAATAGAGGGGATTAACGGATTTTTATGTACCTCTTAGGCTGGGTTTTTGTTGGGTGTGGGAGTTTTTGTTTTGTTTTTTAGTACCAAACTTTCAGATATTTACTTCTCTCAAGTTTGATTGTAATTAGGCAAGTTTCAGAGATTATAATTAGTAAGGGAGAGCGGGGAAAAAGGAACAATTAGGAACAGAGACCTCAAAACCTTCATTTATTTACCCCACTGAACTCTAAAAACCAAACCCTGTATGTATACCAGCAGCAAAGTACCCTGTACTGGGAAAGGGGAAAAGAAAAAAAAAAAAAAAAAAAAAAAAAAAAAAAAAAAAAAAAAAAAAAAAGAAAAAGAAAAAATTTACTTACTTTCCACATCTTGCAAATAACCCATCCAAAAATCAGCACCTTCAATTTTATTTACATCTGATGAAGAATGGATTGTAAAGAGATCACAAATAGTTTCTGCTGAAAGTCTTTCCGGTTTTTGGCACAATATAGTAGAGAATGCTTCTGGATGCATTTGCATTTTCTCTAGCACACCAAGAGTTTTCAAACCTTGCCTAAAACTAGGAGGGGGAGGGGGGGGAAAGAACAAGCATACATCAGAAAGCCAGTAGGTAACTAATTGTACTCTGCATTTTATAAGACTGGGCATAATAAAGTTCCCCCATCTGCAGTCTCCAAGTCTTGTCCATAAGGTGTACATAGTAGTCCTATTCTATTTTAATCTTGGAAAATTTAATTCTCATTTTAGCAATCTAAGTGTTTCTGTGGAGCTTTTTGGGCAGATGAAGGAAATACAGTCAATTTCTGCATATCACTGGTATTTCCTGGTACTTGACTGTATAAGCATGGTTTACTTTTAATTTGTATGCAAGAACATACTGAATTGCTTTCTTACAAACATCTGTTTAGAAAACACAGTTTAAATACCTTGTCCCTAGGCAAAAATGAGGTGCATTAAAAAACAGCCTTGACTTGGCTTCTGCTGTCTGCATGTGTTTACATGCTATTATTCCTCCCTGTGGCAAATGCTGGTAACAGTATCCTGGGCTGCATTAGGAAGCGTGGTGCCAGCAGGTCAAGGGAGCCAAACCTGGGAGTGCTGTGTCCAGTTCTGGGCTCCCCACTACAAGAGATGGAGACATACTGGAGAGAGCCCCACTCGGATGATTAAGGGATTGGAGCATAACCCTGTGAGGAAAGGCTGAGGGAGCTGGGAATGTTCAGCCTGGAGAAGAGAAGGCTCAGGTGGAATCTCAATGTGTAGAAGTATCTGAAGGGTGTTTGCAAGTAAGTCAGAGCCAGGCTCTTTTCAGTGGTGCCCAGTGACAGGACCAGAGGCCACGGGCACAAACTGAAACACAGGAGGTTCCATCTGAACATCAGAAAATGCTTTTTCACTGTGAGGGTGACCGAGCACCGGCAAGGGTTGCCCAGAGGGGTTGTAGAGTCTCCACCTTTGGAGATATTTAGTTGAAAGTTGTCTGGACACTGTCTTGGGCAACTGGTTCTAGGTGGCCTGGCTTGAGCAGCAGGTGGTAGACAGGATTACTTCCAGAAGTCCCTTCCAACCTACACACCAATCGGATTCTGTGATTAACTAAATTTATTATTTTTTTCTTAAAAAGCAGCTCTGCAGGTTGAAAAAATTTCACTTGTTACTGTGTACTGGGTAAGAACATTGCAAGCAACTGGCTGTACAATTTAACCACCATGTTAAATCAGAATTAAAATTTTACTTGTTTACCTATCATTTCTTAAGGCCAAATCAGTAAAATTCAGAATAAACATGTTGGAAGTGTACAGTCAGTGGTGTAGAACGTTAACAGCTAAAGTGACTAACTCTTTACTTACTTCTCAGTCTTTGGTATTGACAAGTAAGTTCTTGCTCTGCTCACTTTTGCCCTTTTTAAGCCCATCTCCAAAAAATGCATAAACACACATTTTCCCATAAACAGACTACTTATTATCTTTTACTTTTTAAATGACTAGTTTTAAAATAGGATATAGATAGGTCAAATAGGCCACAGAGGGCCTTGACTGAAAGACTTATTACTCTCAGCTTCGTTAAAAAAAACCCTCACATTCAAAATCAGTTTTTTCATAGCTCTTGGGAGATTCCGTTGATTCAAATTTGTCAAAGATACCATAAATGTGTTAAGTATAAATCCAACTATACTTGCTGGAAAAATTAGCATCCAAAGCCAATGGAGAATGCAAATTGGAAGTAAGGTCAGAGACCAATCAAAAAATAATCAACAGCTGCAACTTTCCCAGCTATTTGAAGTTATCACTGCCTCATGAAAACACCAATGCAATACCTACATTCCAAGTAGGCCAACTTACACTTGTGCACATTATTGCCCTCTAATGGCATGCACAAAATCCCTAATTAGAACTCTGGAAAACTAATTTAAATTCTAAACATATGTTTAACACTACTAAAATTTCAGGATTCTAAATACCAGTAATTCTGAATTAAAAGTGAACATAAATAAGCTAGAGAAATTTTGTAGCGCAAAGGTCTTTGTCATGCTACGGTTTACAACTGTGAATCTGCCCTCTTCCATAAGGTTGAAAAAGGAATGAAGGAATGTGACCAAGGGGAAGCAGAACGGAGTGGATATGTAGAGAAATAATTTTAGCCTTTCAGTTTAACTAACTAGTTAACAGTTACTACTTAATCCACTGAAAATACAGTACATTTCATTGGTTTAAATGCAGAATAAGGAAGAACATGTGAAAGTTTTAGCAACATATTATTTAGTACTTCAGTGAGGAAGAAATCCAGGAATTCTGAAAATTCAAACAAAACAAACCTTTCTAAGGGTGAAATAATTCTCTTGATTACATGATGGATCAATATGTCATTCACCAGCACATTTTTATCACACAAAGCTGTTATAGGTCTTAAACATCCAGCAGCAGCAAGGAATTCGTAACACTCGTGTACTGTAGACTGTAGGCTGGACAGACTGTTTGCATATTTTATCTGTATCAGAAGACAAAAGTTAGGAATTGGTTTACTCCATGCGTGTTTGTATATATATAAAAAACATGCTTTTTATTTTGAACTTAAGTTATATTCAATAAGCCCTTCTCTATCTCCAAATACAGTCTTGAACAAGAATTTGCCAGTACATTTAGTTTTATTTACCATTTTTATTGTTTGTGCTACATCAACATCAGCAACATCTTCCAAAGCTGGCTTCACATTCTCTGGACCATAGACAAGACAATTGAACAGTGTTTTGGAAAAGAAACCAGGAGATGGGCCACCGTGAACCAGAGAAACTGCAATCATTTTACCAGCTTCAAAATACAGATTCTCTTTTACAGCTGCAAATTAAAAAAAAAAAATTACTATATATACATAAAAATAATTTGTGATACTTTTTTTTTTTTTTTACAGAAAATCTCATAATGCGATTCCTTCTTACTTTAGGAGATGCCACAAATGAAGTTTGCCATCTCCTGCTGGTTCAAACAATAAGACCAGTATTTTTTACACAGCAGTACCATATTCTTTTATTCCAACTCCTCAGCCACTATCAAGCTCTGGGAGGAGATGTAACTTCCTCTTACACTTTGTACCCAATGCACATTTAATTCTGAAGCGTAGGAACACAAAGAAGCTAGCTTTGGGTCTTTAGGGAACATGCTATCAGAGATAACGTTCTAGAAATTTGAGGGAGGGAAAAATAAGTAACAGAGAAAGTGAGTCAGGAAGAAAGAAATTCACTTGTAGAGAACAAATACATTAATTAAAGAGTTCCAATTCTAATGATATGCTGTATTTTTTCCTTGGTTGTCATCAACTTTTCCAACTAAACCAAATTTCTTGGTATTACAAATCTGCACATCACCCCCCTTTAGAATTGAAAAGCAAAAAAATTCAAAAAACCAATTTATATTCATCAGGACTCTAATTGTGAACTGACAATCATACTGGCTGAAGATCTAAAAACCTTTCAAGCTGCATAGTTCTTAATGTATTTTTGAACAAAGCATTTAGTTACCTTGAAAATCAAGGGACAAGTTCTTTGCAGAAGAGCCCTCAAACAATGATGAATTCTGAAGGTGAAGCATTAATAATTGGAAGAAACGGTGTTTTGATGCAGCAGAATTATTTGTCTTTGATCTATTTTTGCAGTTTGTGAACTTTATTTCAATGGTGTTTGTAGGACTGAACTTGCGCTGTCTAAATCCTTTTAAAGCACTATTCCAGATATTTTCTGTATTGATGTTAAGTCTTGTAGTTTTTGTATTAACCTGTAGCTTTAACTCCTTCAGTACATTAGAAACTTCCATTCTTTGCCTTCTTAAATGCCTACAAGAAAGTTGCATGTATTTTCAGATGAAATCTATGATTCATAATTAGCAAGAGTTTACAGGAAACATCCTAAGAAACTACTAAGAAAAACACCTCTTTAAACACTTTGGTACTTTAAGTATGGGTATTATTTTTGGTAATTTAGGTATTGCCTAAATCATATCAGTAAAATATTTGGTGTAGATGCTTCAAATTTTAACTCTATAGGGGCAAATTTTGAAGTACCTCTAAGAACTAGAAAAAAGGAGGTAGAAATAATTACTTTGGCATAAAATGAATAGTTATTTTCTTAATTCAGTTACACCAACATAGTGCCAAACAATTCTCACACCATCATTCTACATTTGAACAATGTGAAACAAGTGAGAAATTGAAGCGCTTACCACGTTTGTATTAAAGATATGTTTTGCAACCAAATTGCAATACACTGTCAACTATGCACTAATATTTAATCTCTGTTACTATAATCGAAAATACATTTGAGGAGGGAGAAATATTGCAGTTCTTGTATAACAAAAATAAGACACCAGTCTAAATAAGATCCCTTCTTCATTTTCTAAGTTGCAACCAAAACTATTTCAAATACCCTACCTACAAGAAGTAACTAATTCCCTCATCAGAATTGTTAGCACATAATTTATTAAGTCTACCTGTAATAAGTACTCACACTAAGAGAAAAGTTTTGTAGCCTTAAACTGAATATTCAAAATTAAAACATGTTAATTTACCAGTGATTTTAGCATAATCATGAACTACTCTTATGGTACAAACGCAAAAACATTGAAAATTCAGGATATGTCTAACTTGAAGGTAGTTAGGATTTTTATTCCCCCTTGTCTAAAGAATGGCTAGCCATGCTTTGGTCAGGACAAATATGTGTTTCTGGGTTTTTATCCCCTAATCCCCCTCTGGCATTTAGAAACAGCAGAAGCCTTTACCAAGCTATACCTTCAGCTCTTCAGTGTACTCATTCCATTTTTCCAGTGACTATATACACACACACAAAAAAAATAATATATAGCCACTATACACACAGTAGGAAATATGGCATAAAGCCAAGTGCTAGATTACTCTTCAGCATAAGAAAAATAGAAGAAAATACTTTTTCCTCTGCGACCAATTCCTGTTTGACGTCAGTGGAGATAAGGACATCGTCACTCTGTTGGATGCTGGAAGTTCTAGGTGTGAGCAGGGTGACAAGTTGTTCTGGCACATTATCTTTGGTGACCTACAAGCCAAAATACTGTTTTAATACAAGATATAATTGAAAAATGCATAAACGCTTGTTATTTGAAGGTAACAATATAATTTGTACCTATTACAGTACCGAATCTTGTCTGCATGTTCATGGACACAAAGTCCATCAGTGCTTGAATTACAATTTTAAAAATAATAATTCAGTATATTATTATGTTGTGGTTTTAGGGTTCGTTTTTAGTTGCATCCCATACACGAGATGGGAGTCCTGATACAACAAGTAAAAACTAAAACTATGCGTTTCTACAGACTTGAAAAGTTTTTATTACAGCAGAGGAAAACGTTTATAATAAATACCTTTGTAAGCTAGATTTCTAGCACACTTAACATAGAAAAAATACCAACAAGCAACCTTAGCTTTAAGTTTTGCCATTTATACATTCGAAGTTACCTCCAATTTCCTTTTACAAGGATCCAATTTTATCATACTAAAAACTAGTTTACATGCCATCGTATGCAAAGAACAATAGCAAATTTACAGAGTTCACTGCTTACTCAGAAAACTTCAATCACTAAACTTTACTCCAATTCTATTAAATATGCAATTCAGTGTAGGAAGTTTCTCATATGGAATAAGCCATCGCCTCCTCATGTTTAAATACTATTTTACATTATAATCAGTTTTCTGCTTGAAAACAGAACATTACGCACTGGAGAAGAAAATTGCATTGAGATCCATGTGACTGCCGAGGGCACTTTGGAGATGGCTCTTCCAGCAAACACGTTGTCCCATCTGTCTTTTCAGAGGTAGCCAAAGAACGCTTTTTCTGTTTGCTGTAGTTCCCTGTACGATTAAATGATTGATTCAGTGAATTTGCTACGTGTAAAATACATAGTGTTACAATCTCTCATTCTAAGCAGCCACCATAACTTTACCTGCTTTTGCAAAAATACTTCGGCATTCTATGCACTCCCAGTTTTGCTCCCATGACTTCATAGATGAACAGGCCAAATGAGTTCCACGGGAACCACAACACTGACAACGCTTTATTTCCCATTTACTAAAATGAAAAACTTACATATTTAGCATTAGACAGAAACATAAGGCCAATTAAAACAAAGAATATTCAACACTAAGTGTAATCTAGACACTAAAAAAAGCATAATTTTATCAGTCTGTTAAGACTGTACATATTCAAAGGAAACTTTCTGCAGATAAGGTGAACTCAAAATTCCTCGCTGCAACAACAACAAAGCAGCTAGCTTGTGTTGAAAGAGGCTATGAGTTAGTCTGCTCCCCTGCCTTGAAGTCAATAGCTGGCAGGTGGTATTTTCTCCTCATGTTGCTAGCTGGCAACATCCTCTGTGTTTTATGGGTAGCCATCATTCAGCTTTTCCAAATGGTAATTTTTTTAAAGGAGCACATCTGATTATTCTTACACATTCTGAATAAGCCTCTTCATTAATGCCAGTGTTTAAGTATCTGTTAGATTTTTGTCTAGATTTCTTCAATTTTGCCTTAAAGTACAATGGAACAACATGACTGATACTAGTTCAAATAGTGGAAGCTTAAGGTACAACTCTTAAAGGCAAAATAAATCCTGAGGTACACACATACCATGAATGAACCAAGCAATGTTTGGTCAAATCTGTACAAAGCAAAATTAATGTCTAGAGAGAAGAACCTACCACAGTACTACAGAAACAAGTCTTCAAAGTAGAGGCTCTGACCACTTTGAGTATACTCATGCCAATGGAAGATATAAATTTCAGAAGCACACAAATAAAACAAGAAAGAATGCAGAAAATGAACTTGTTAATCAAAAATTAAGCAAGTGGTAGAGCAAAATAAAGCCTTTTACATGGTCACTCAAGCCTCTCATTTATTGTCAATATTCTAGCTGCCATTTGCATGCAGAGCAATAGCTCACAGGTTGATTTCAGATTGATTTTACAAAGCTAGTTAATTTTCAGCTAAGTCTATACTTCAATGAATTTCTTGTAAAGGTATTAAATATTCTAACAATTATTTAATTGTTTAATTAAGCTCTGAATGAAACATACACATTAGGCACTTGCTATTCTACATGTTATGTAGATGTACAAATTCTACTTCAGCGCTGTATCAAATGAGAACAAGGACAAGATAGCTGGTAATTGATCGGTTTGGTTTTCTTGGCTTTTATAAACCAATTAAGTTAGAGAAAATTAGTACTGAAATATTACGATTATAGGGAGTAAACCAAACATTTTATTTGGACATGGTGCCTTGGCTTGACATTAAAACCTGATGCTGAAGAATATTAAAGCATTCAAATAAGAAAAAAACCCCACCACTAAAGAACTATTGCATCCTAGGTTATACCTTCCTGCAAAAGTATCATACCTATCAGGTTCATTATAGTCCCTTCCTTTCTTGCAGAGACACCTTTTAATGTCACAGTGTTGATAACATTGCAGTAGGTCTTGATATGCATTCTCTTCAAGTTCCCAAGATGCATCCCTATAAACAAGGCAGAAGATCTGTTATTACAACTGTATTTCCGATTATTTAAATGGGTTGCTCTGTCTTTGGAAAAGATGTATGTAATAACTACACAAAGAAATTTCAATCATGTAATGTTCTAGGCAACAGCTAGACAACTGAGAGGGGGAAGAAAAAGTTCTAGGAATAAAAATAATGCTATAAAATATACCCACAGACTTTTTCTTGTGTACAGTTAGTATGATTAAAGTACTTATTATTTTTCACATGGCCTCAGTGCACGTTTGCTCCGTTTCATATTATTCTGCCTTCTTTCTCACAGCAGACATGGATATTTGTTTTGGCAGTCTACTCAAGTTATCACTGAAAACGGTCTCATGAAAAGTCACTGAGAAATTTCCAGTCTGAAGAGACTGATAGTTTAACAATAATACTTCTAACAAAGAAACATCATTCTGATCACTTTGGCTTATTTTGAGTCCCATCAAATGGTGAAGACTTCTGATAACAGCTCAGAACTTTAGAAGCAGTCATTATACTAGGCATATCCTTAGCAATCCCTTGGGAGAAGATGGAAGCTGTATGGCTGAGTAATCAGTTGATTATAATACTGTCTGGACAGAATTTCAGATAATGTAAAAACTTGGGCACAGAAAATACACTTCTCCGCAACCTCTATGTTAATGCAAAATTATTGTATTCAAGAAGTGTTGTGATCTTTTAAATAGGTCCCTGGTTGAATCATGGCATAAAAAGTGATTTTTCAGAGCTTTCTGCTTTATGCTCGAGGTGACTACTTTGGTCTTTCACAATTTTTATGCATAACTAAAAGGAAACAGGCTGCTCTTAGCAAACAAAACAGTTCTACCATTGAAGGTAGAACTGAGGTTTCACATATTAATAGATGCAGTTCTATCGAAATTTTTACAGAAGAGTGATTATTGACAAGATTACTTACTTTTCTGGAATGTGTATGCCCATTCTCAACATTTCTTTCTGAAATTTGTCCTTGTTATTACATACTGTGCACCTAAAGAAAAATATCCCAGCACTCAAAGCTTGATACTGTGTCAAGAAAAAAAAAACACAACAAAAAACCAAACCAATTATTGAATTACTACCATCCTTAGGATGCTGATAAATAATGCCTTAATATCTATAACCATTACATTCACGGATACTGTCCTGACATGGATGTTAAACCTGACATTGATCATGATGTCACTTGACATTGAAGCAGATGGTGAGCATTTTCTCTTCCTTTAAAGGACAAGAGCTCACATGCTAGAATCATGTTAATAAACAAAAGCACAACCCTTTTCAGTCAACCTCTCTGGATCTAGAATGAGTTTACAAAAATAACTTTATAACTTCTTCCAGCACTGGACTTTGGCAAAGGGAACTGATGACGGATAAATGACATTTTTAGCATTTAGATTCTGCACATAATGATTTGCAAGATGGCAACTACCTAGGTTGGACTTCAGTTCCTAAAAACAACTGAATTTATTTTTAGTAATAATCCTAATAAATAAGGCATGAAGCGTATCACACATGCAGAAACATGGAGGGGAATTAATAGTGTAAAAAAAAAAACCTCCTTCTTGTAAGACACTAGTCTCCAAAACATAATTTTAGCATTGTCCTTCAAACCTAGTATATTTCCATACCTACTGCCTACATTAACCCTAAGCAATTATACAGTTTTAATTAATTGTTCCATTATTTTTAAACACAACAGAAATGTGATCTCCATGGACGCAAAGAGAAAAGAAAGGGAGAACCTGTGTTACCTGCAAGCATTCTCGATGAAACCAAGCGTTTTTACAGCAAGGACTTTTCAATACAGTGTAAGTTGGAAGCTGTTCAACCAAATCCAGGCATATTGTACACTGTGAAGTTCCACTAGATTCTTGATCTGGAAACTTTTGAACTGGTTTATGTTCCCAACAGTAAGATCTAAAAACAATAATTTAAGGTTCCCTTATGAAAACAACATTTTAAGAACCTTCCTCAAAATTTGAGTATAGCAAAATGAATTCCGTTTTATATCTATTTTTCATGAATAAATGCAACAAGCTAAAAAGGCTAAAAAGGTTTTTGTTATTTCTGAGCAGTGCTGGCACAGGGTCAAGGCCTTTTCTGCTTCTCACCCCACCAACAAGGAGGCTGGGGGTGCACAAGAAGCTGGGAGGGGACACAGCCAGGACAGCTGACCCCAACTGACCAAAGGGGTATTCCACACCATATGATGTCATGCTCAGCATATAAAGCTGGGGTAAAGAAGGAGGAAGGGGAGGCATTCGGAGTGATGGAATTTGTCTTCCCAAGTAACTGTTACACATGATGAAGCCCTGCTTTCCTGGAAATAGCTGAACATCTGCCTGCTGATGGGAAGCAGTAAATGAGTTCCTTATTTTGCTTTGCTCGTGCATGCAGCTGTTGCTTTACCTATTAAACTGTCTTTATCTCAACCCATGAGTTTTCTCACTTTTACCCTTCCGATTCTCTCCCCATCCCGCTGAGGGTAGTGAGCAAGCAGCTGCGTGGTGCTCTGCTGCCTATCAGGATTAAACCACAACACACATGTAAACAAATTATGTATCTAACAGAGCAAGTCAACAGAACAATAGTAAGGAAGAAACTTATTGCTAACCATAAGAAACTTATTGTCAACTAATGCTCTGTAAATTAGAGATCATATACCCTCTTCTCTCAAAACTTCTTTTGGTCCAAATAATGTGCTTACTGTCCTCAGAACCTCAAGTTCTTCCTATATTTCAATGCTACCACGATGTTAAAAGAGCAGTTTTGAGTTTGCATATTGATTCTCCAGAGTCTAGGTAGCAGGATATAATTTATAATTTAGCACATTTTCAAAGAAATAAGACAGCCAAGAAATGTAGTTCTAGAAGAAACCTTTCCAAAAAAGCCTTATTTTTACATGTGCTTGACTTAATACAAGTGATTTAAGTTAAAATGCCTGCCAGACTTCAATCCATCTACCCTACAAACTCAGCTCACAGTAGGCAGAATAATGCCGTTGTCAAATGCACTCAAGACTATTTTGACTACGGCCAAGATGCTGGACAGATAATAGTAAAAGAAAATAAAGCAGGTTTTAGACATTTGATATTAAACCTATTTCTCCTACAGTCCATCTCTAATAGGAAGATCTAGAAGTCTTGTGCTTTGAAACACGACAGAATGGCAAACTGTGTTTTGACTGCTGAGATAGGCAGCCAAACCACTGCCATTTCAAATGCACAGGAGGCAGACAAACAAAAACCCCAAACCAACCATTTTGCAGTTTATTTCAGAGTTTAGGATTTAATGCTCAATTTTGTAAACAATTTAACTCCTTGTAGAAGTATTACATTGTATCTTTAAAAGCTCTGAGAATTTAGTTTATAGGTACTGGGTATGCAATATAATTGCTTGGCCTTCATGTTTTTCACAAATCAGATGTTTTTTCTTAGATAACCTGCACGTCATTTATACTTAACAGCCTATACAGTAACAACCCATAAAAAAACCCAGATCACCTCCTGTATAAATATAATTAATTGAAAATGAAAAAGCAACAAAACCCCAGAACTTACCTGAAGTCTTCCATGAACTGGAAAATACACTCCTTTTGTATCCCACAAGGAAAATGGTAACTTCGTTTGCATTTGGGAGCTACACATCCAATTGAAGCACCCTTTTTCTTACAGATATTACATTTCTAGGAATAATTTGGTTTAGAAATAACAGAATATTAACAGCTAAAGTCCAAGTAACATTACAGGAATTAAAGCAATAGAAAAATGAAGAAGAGTATAAGAAGGGAAGACTAACTGTGACAGGACTATTGTGTTTTAGCCCTATTTAAAAGAGTAAAGATATGTAGTTATTTCATAGACTTTGATTATGTATTGTTTTACATGCGTGTTGACTTGTGACACATAAGCCAAAATACAAGTTCTTTTACCAGTACCTATAGTTTAGCTGCATCTATAAAATTATATGATATGTCAGCCTGAGGCTCAGCATAATGTCATGAGGTATTATGCATGTGTAATTTGCTCTCACTTATCTGCAACATACCCAGGAAATAAAAATATTAGCAAACTTCCGCAGGTTTTATTGTCCCTTGTGGCTTTCATGAGCCCAATATACTTGTTACTTAAATGTAAAATTCAAATGCTTGAATGGGCTCAGCACACTGCCCATCAGAGAAAGAAAAGAAAACAAACTCCACAGGTGAAAGATACTAAGTGCATTTAGAAGTTACTTTATTATTCCCTTGTAAATACCAAAGACTTCATTCTTACCAATTTTGCAGCTCTATTTACTTCTTTTCTAATATCCATGATTAAGAATCCATCTACACCTTCATCTTCCTCCCCTCTCTGCCAAATGCCACTTGACATCAACTATGGAAACAAATTAAGTATTTGAAAACATTCATCTACCTAAAGATTTAAAACTTACCTACACAGCGTTTAAGTAACAGAGAAGTTTAGTCTAACAAAGCTTGTATGCAAACATTTTAACTATTAAAAATCTAATTCAAAACATCCATGTATTTTTGTCTGATATAACAATAGGGAATAGTAACCAGTAACATGAAAATAAATATTTCATAACATCAAAGTCTTATGTAATACTGTAGAGCCCAAGATGGCGAATTTTACCTTCCTTTTTCAGATATACGGACTATTCAGATAATTGTCAAACAATTACTTTCAGCATATAAAGCTTCAGAGGAAGTAAAATTAGTTTAGTTAATGTGAATGACAATTGTGCTGTGGAGATAATAAAGCACAGTAGGAAGTATTTGTACTGAAGAGCAACCTGAGAGGAAAAGTAATTCACTTTAGAGGAGAACTAAATAAAAACAGAATCAAGTAACTAGGCAAGTCAGAAGAGCCTGATGATAATTTAAAGTTACGAAGTAAGGGAGTTAACATCACAAACTTCAAAAAACTAACTAGTTTCACAACTTGTTGCCTCCTATATTCTTTACAATCTCATTTTATAATCTTGTCATGGTTTTGGCTGGGATAGAGTTAATTTTCTTCCTAGTAGCTGGCATAGTGCTGCGTTTTGGATTTAGTATGAGAAGAATGTTGATAACACACTGATGTTTTAGTTGTTGCTAAGCAGTTCTTACATCAGTCAAGGACTTTCTCAGCTTCCCCTGCTCTGCCAGGTGCACAATCACTGCTCGGAGGCAGGTTGGGTGCCAGTGGGCGGGTGGTGAGCAGTTGCATCACTTGTTTTTCCTGCATTTTGTTTCTCTCTCATTGTTTTCCTTTTCATTATAATTATTATTCTATTTCAATTATTAAACTGTTCTTATCTCAACCCATGAGTTTTCTTACTTTTGCTCTTCCAATTCTCTCCCCCATCCCACTTGGGGGGGAAAAGGTGAGTGAGTGGCTGTGAGGTGCTTAGCTACCGGCTGGGGCTAAAACATAACAGATTTCAACACAGCACCATTTTCTACCTACAGAGTTTTATCAATACATGTACATATAATACATAATATATCAAGTTGAATACAGGTAAAATTTTATACCAAAACCAATTAAGAATGTATTTTTTCCAAATGTGAGACATTCAGCAAAGAAAAACGAAACTGCACCACTAACTGCCTCTTTCTAGAACTCTTTTCTTATATAATATTCACTATATTCAAGTAAAATCACAGGCTTCTGTTTGTTTGTTTTTAAAAAGAAGTACAGACCAAAACCTAAAAGATGACTGCAGGAACCTCATCACCGTAAAACATCGTATAAATCATAAGGCTCAGTGTTGTAAGCATGCCCTTTCCTAACTGTTCTGCTCCATCAGAAAAGGACATTTTTCCTATCATTTCATATGGTGTTACGTATGAGACAAAATGATCATGAACAGACCTAAATTTCCTTCCAGATGCTTAAAGTTTATTTAAGAAAAAAACCTCTATGCAACTTTAGAAAACCTCCACTCTGCCTAGTCTTTGAAGGATTCAACATCCAACCTATTAAGCCACCTGCAGTCAACACAGTCCTTAAAGAACTGGCTGAGAAAAACAAACAAAACCACAAAACCCCCAAAGTGTTCCCGATGTTCTCAAGACTGTTTTTTTAAACTTGGGAAAAAATTTCCAACTTTTTTTTGTTTGAAGTACTCATATTATTTTAAAGACCTGCAAAGATTTAGAGTTTGAAAGGTAGTTTAAGTATACCTTTAAGAATATGAATCTTGGAAAATGTCAAGTGTGATAACAAAATATACTCAACTGTAATTTATATCCACAACTTTGTTCAAATTATAAGTTTTTTAGTAAAAATAGTTATAGCTATAGAGCTATAGAGCTGTAATATGATCAGTAGGGTACATGTTTCTAAACTGAAAAGTAGGACTATTTCTTAAGTGTTACAACGTCCTCTGTGATGTCAGAGAATAACTCCCAGCCAAACAAGAACTAGTGACAAACAAGGGAAAAAAAAAAAAAAGAAAAAAGAAGACAACTTTTCTCTACTTTTTCCACAAGGGGTGGAATTTTCACATTCTAAATTTTGAAACTACACTTCTCTTACAGAAGCAAATATGTAAGTGCAATCTGTTCCCTTTCTCTTAACATGTACCTTCATTGCTACGATAGGTTGGAAGAATTAACTAAGTAATTAAAGTAAATGGATTATGAACAGAATTTAGCTTTGAGTCAAGGCTTGTTGGGATTTGTTTCATCTCCCATACCTGATGAGTACAAGCCTTCAAGGCTACAAATTAAAGCTGACAGTTCAAGCTTTATAACAGCAAAACTTAAAACAACTGTTGAGACAGTTTATTACTATTTAATACTTGTTGCATTTACTTTTTTAATTTCCAGTTAAAACAGACAGGGTCCAAGATCAACACCATATACTTACCAAACAGTAATAATGAACAGTGAGATTGTATTCCACATATGTCCTTTTTTCTCCATACTTTTCAGGGCAGTCATCTGTCCGTCCACAGAGGACACAGACTAAAATATAGAATCATGTTTACAATCACAGTGAATGTATTGAAAATACTATAGATCAGCTGAAGAGCAGCAACTTTCATCTCTTTTACATGTACCTTCAAGTAGATTACTGGACAAAGGTCAGTAGATACCCCCCCTCTCTCCTTAATATTGAATTCTATAGTAAAAACAGAAGAGGGTACTATTTGTTCCTTCTGTAGTTCCTAAAAAGAAAATACTTCACCAGTTCCACCTGCCAGCTGATTCAGGAGAAGGCTATCACCCAAGCTAAATTCACAAGCAGACTGTGCTCCCAACTGAAACGTTCTTCCCAAAACACCCAAGGATAATTATCAAATGGCCAACAATGTCCAGATGCGTGTGAAATATGTCATCTAACTGTTTCCAGTATTGTACATAAAGACAACACCATATTAGAATCCATGAAGCAACTTAACTGTTTCTTTGGATACCTATGTGATAACTTTAGTGAAAAGCACATGAATGGTATCCTGTCTGTATCAAGTCATATGTTACCAGTGCCTTTAAAACATATGCTAGTTTCACAACATTCAAGGATTTGAGACAACATTGGAGTCAACTAAAACCTTAAGGATTTCCCCATTTCTGCAGTTCCTAGCCCACTAACACACTTCCACAGACATTTAAGACCCTCCCCTCAGTTCTCAATAGATCTATAAGATACATTTTCAATAGTCTAACATCAAGAACAGTCATAGGAGTGATGAGAATAGAGGTACTGCTTCAGCCCAAGAGGGTCCTGAATGATACATCTCAAACACAGCTGTGCCTGATTTGGCAGCTGAATTCCCAAAGTTACTTTCTTAAAACATCTGCAGGAAAGACTATTTTTAAGTAGTCCAATTACGGCAAACAAATCCAAGGAAGTTTACAAGTTATTTGTTTTTCATTCCCTGAGATAAGTGGTTCCAACACAATTTGATTACTGAAAATCCACTTGTTCTTTGAGCCCAAATAGAGCAAGCTATAATTGGCATTATGTACGCAGATTAAAGATTCCTATTACTATTTAATAAAATCCATACTTACATGGACTTTGAATGTCAATATTATCGTTTTTACTCATCCTGAGTTCTTCTGACTGGCTGTCATGAAAAAGAAATGAGGTGTTAAATACATCTAGTGCATTAACCAATGACCATTATATACTGCTTTTACTTTTTATTTTAAATTGAAAAAAACCCAGATTCAGTAAAGTAAAAAATGGGATCAAGAACAAAATAATATTACAATTCAACTGTTATTGTGAGAGATGGGCATTTGGAAAGCAGGATGCAAATGTTCAGAAAAAAAAAGTACTCCCAGGCATGTAGCGACTTAACTATTTCCCCAAACTATCAAACAAGGTATTTTATTTTCAAAAGAGAAAACAAAAAAGTCCAATGCAACAGCTATTTATGTGTAGACTTAATTGTACAGAAGAGTTTGTAGTTATTTTAAACGTCAAAAATAGCGATCCAAGGACAACCAAGGAAGTGGCGGTGACTCCTGCCCAGATAAAGATTGTATTGCCATGAGAAACTTGCTTGGAAGAAAAAATTAACTCAGTAGGATAGTGGCAAAATTATGAAGATAGTCTCCATTGTTTGGAGAAAATGCAGGATCCTGGCCTAGTTAAAGAAATGCTGATCTAAGACACCCGCCACAAAAACTCCCAACAAACTGGTGAGGAATCCAAAACAGGGACATGCATACAGGAGAATTCACACCACTTAGAAATACGTATTTTATATTCTGAACTGGGGAGTAATTTACTTAGAAACATTGACCTAACCTCCATTTCTTTCAAACATCACATGCCCCTAAAAATTAGATCCCCAAGATACATTAACATGGATATACTGGGAGCTGGCCTTTACTGTGTGCCACAGCATACCTTCTAGCCCACCTTGGAAAAAAAAAAACAAAAAACCAAAACAAAACCATGTTTCTTCACCGCAGCATTAAGATGATTATTCTTTCTCTAGTGCAAAGTAGAACCCTTTTAAGAACATTTCTGTAGATCTTTATCTTGCCTTCTCTTAGGAAGCTGAAGAAAGCATTACATGAGTTTTGCAAGACAAGAACCACAGGTGATTGCCTGCAGATCCATCCTTGACCTCACAGGTAGGTGAACAACTTCCTTCACACTCGCCAAAGCGAGCAGTGAGGCAGCTGGTAACAAATCCAAGGTCCAAAACAGAAGCCTGACAGACTCTGAGCTCTCAGAGTTTTGGCATTTACAGTTTAGACGTCTGCCAGGTACAAGCTTCAAGGAACAAACCTCTGAAAGGAGTTGTATTGAGAAAGAAAAAAAAAAAAAAAAAGGGAGACAGAAGTCTGAGGCATAGGGCAACTGCTCTACAGCATTGCATTTTCTTAGAGACCCAGAGTAGCTGTACACTAAAAAAAAAAAAAAAAAGACCTTTACCAAAAAACCATCTAAAAGGAAATAAAAAATAAACAATGCTGCAAACAAATTAAGGCAAGAGGCCCTTAAGAACACACACTGCACCGACAGTCAGATAAAGCAATTGGTTCCAGGTTCCAGTTTTCCCAGAAACACACTTCCCTCTTTCTAAATTACAAAAAAAAAAAAAACTTAATCGGGTACAGGGGGAGCAAAACACAAGCACGCAGCTCACACAGGTTCCCTTCTCTTCGGGATTTCCCAAGACCGGTCACTATCAGTTTCACAGTCCTGAATCTATTAGGGTAATAAAGCAAAGAAACGATCTATATGTAAACACACAACACCAAATTTTCACCTCATTTGTGGTAAAACGCCCTATCAGGTGGAAAAAGCACCTATGTGGCTGGAAACAAGAAATGCACCTTCCTACCTTTGCCTGGCTCCAGCAAAACAGAAAAAAAATCGCTACCCCTCCCCCCCCCAGCCGCAATTCCTTCTACTTTTCTCAAACTCTTTCAAGGAAATGAACCCGGAGTTCAAATTTGCAAGTTAAAAGATATGCGAGAACAACCATTGAAGCTCCATGCACAAGTCCTACAGGGCTCTCTGCAGGAACAAAGCAATTCCCTATCGGTCTATTTGCAAGACAGGAACACATTATCACCCTGTGTTTGTAAAAACCGAAGTGTAGATAAAATATATCTACTTTGCCTAAACAGGGTAAAAAAAAAAAATCCTCAGAGTGAATACTTCAGATTTTGCAACTCCCGTGACTCTTCACTACTACAGAACACAAGGTGTTTTTTAACTCGAGGATGGGAAAAGAAAAACCAAAAACCAGCCCCAAGAGGCAAGGTTTCAGGTACGGGTTTTCTCTGACACGCGAACAAAGGAACCCTCCCGCATCCCCTCCGCTCACGCTGTGTGTCCTCAATTTACCTAGGGCAG